CAAGATGATATAAAATTCAAAATTTTGCCATCTTTTCCGAAAGCGAACAGTTTCAAGAGAAGAAGGGCATGTCAACACGATCAAAAGCCTTAGTGAAATCGAAATAGACTATGTAAAGTGCAAAACTATTAATAATTTATTATATGCCAGTTTACAGGCATTGTCAAGGGAGGCGACTAAACACAAATCCGACCAGCAGTGAAAAAAACTCCCGAGGTACAGGAATAAAAATATAGTTGATAGTGGTTTTATGGTTTGGTGGGTTAGGAGAAAAAAATGCTGATGGTAGACTTTCGACCGTCAAGAAAGGGGGGATTGCACGGTATCGGAGATTATCGGACGTCAATTCCTTTCATGAAGTTGGGGATAGTCAAAGAAGAGGCGTTGAGCAACAGCTGGTGAGACCGGCCATAGTGTTCAGAGACCACAAACGCCATCGTTACGGTACAGTCGATCAGAGGATTCAGCACCTAAAATTTGTGGGAGCTTTTCTGAATGCAAAAATCGAGTAATATTTCTCTTACATAAAAGATAATTTTGCAGAGTTTTCACACTGATTGGTAGTTTATTCCAAATAGCAATTGCATTTACAGAATAGAACCGACAATGTTTAACAGTACGTGCCAGAGGCAGAAATAAGAAGACCTCACGGTGACCGTTACGTCGTGGGTGGATATGATGTCTTAAATAGGTGAGTGGGTTAAATGTGTGATTATATAAGAGTTTAAATAGCAAAAATAGTCCCTTTTGTAATCTGCGGAACCATAAAGGATCAAGGCCCGTAAGCCCGCAACGTACTTGGTAAGACAAATGTCGGTGTTCCGGGGTTAAAATTCTCTTGGTAAAAAAGTGTTGCACGGATTCTATTTTCTTCCGCTCAGTAGCACGCATGAGGCTAAATGAAAACGAACAGTATTCCAGACCAGGTCTAACGTACATGTTGAAAAGGCGCATTCTAATGTCCCTAGTTTTGAAGTTTCGGAGGATAAACCCGGTCGTTCTGCGTGCTTTGGAGACTATCAAGACACCGTGTTCCGAGAGATTGAGATTCTTGGAGTATGATACACCCAAATCCTTTATAACCCCTGGCACATTTATGGCGTGACCTTCAGTACTTAGTTGAGGTTGGCGGTCGTCGCCAACCACCATGACTGAGCACTTATGCGAGGAAAGAGAAAGGCGCCATGTGCGGCACCACTGGGCGAAAGCCTGTAGATCGCTCTTTAGGAGCTCGAGTACCACGTCATAATCTGCCGGCTTATATCGATATGCAACTTTAAGATCATCGGCATACATGAAAGGCTTACCATTCTGAAATAAATCAGGTTCATCCTTAACGAAAAGGCAAAATAAAAGTGGGCCGAGTACACTACCCTGAATGACTCCACTCCTCACACGTGTGGGGTTGTAGATGGTATTGGAAATCTTAACTCGTTGTGTAAGAGTGCCGAGGTAAGAGGATATGAAATTTAAAAGTTTGTCACCTATTCCGAAAGAGGACAGTTTCAAGAGAAGAGGAGCATGGTCAACACGATCAAAAGCCTTAGTGAAATCGAAATATACTGTGTAGAGTGCAAAACGATTGTTTCTAGATTGGAGAACATAGTCAAAGAAAGAGCGTTGACAGGTGTCACAAGATCGAGCTTTGAGGAATCCATGCTGAGCAGCACTCAGTAAGTTATTCACTGTTAAGTGACACATCATCTTATCTTTGATCAATGTCTCTAAGATCTTCGAAACTGCGGGGAGGGTGTTTATTTGCCGAAAGTCATCAAATAACGTGGATTTGCCGTGGTTAGGAATGGGCAAGATGTGTGATTCTTTCCACGAGGTAGGATAATTTCACTTTCAAGAGCGAGATTAAATATCTTGCATAGGAGGGATGGGAAAATTGTATTTGCATCGGCTTTAAAATACTTACTGGGACACCATGGGGGCCTGGACTATAAGATTGACGAAAACGCCGAATCGCAACAGTCACATCCCACGGAGTAAAAGTTATAGTTTCTAGAACGGCCCCTGTCAATGGCTGGATGGTCGGAAGCGGAGTGGTCGAATCTTCCATGAACGTTTTGGACAGGAAATCACGGAAGCTATCCGCGGTTAACTGGGCATCAACTATGGGATTTCCGGGAGCGTCTCGGAGGATGGGATGCTGCGTCTTTCTATGAGTTCGTATTATTCTAGAGAAAAGTTTCGAGACATTTAACGAATGGTTTCCGGTAAACTGGACATCTTCGGCTAGCTGTTTTTCTTCAGACAAGAAAGAGATGACGGGTATCACGAGACCGAGTTTTGAAGAATACATGCTAAGCAACATTCAGTAGAATATTCTCTGTTAACTGACACATAATCTTATCGTCGAGCAATCCCCATAAGAATTTCGAAACTGCGGGGAGGGTTTTTGTTGCCTGGTGGTTATCAAATGACGTAGAGTGTCATAATTAAAATAATAATTAATCATTATTTTTATTAAAGACCCGTCGATGTTCCATCAAAGCAAATAAAAATAAATAAACATACGAATTTTACACAAGGTAGGCAAAATCTGTACAAAGTGCAGTTCATAGTTTTTGAAATTAGAAGTCCGTTAAGAAAAATGATAAGTAAGGGGTGAAAAAAACTCCATTTGAAAATTTAAAAATGACTGGATTAATTTTACAGGAGAAAAAAAACCCTCAAAAAATAGCATCAGAAAAATGCAGGCAGGACTGGCCTGCATGTCGCGGTATAGAATGGATTATTGTCAGACATCGTCTGGGCCGAAATAAATGTCAGCTGTATATGGCATTGTATAGCGGATTTCATAAAGGAATAAGTAGGCGGGTCGGTCAGGACTAGCCTGTATGTGGCCTTGAATAAGGCAAATAATTGGCGAAATTGCAAAAGAGTCTCGAGGCGATAGGAACCCAGATGCGGTCGGTTACATTCAACCGAGTCTATCCGAGGATGGGGCAGAGGAGATGTGACCAGATTACCATTATATGGCGAATACAGAAGGCTTCGCTAAGAGCGTCGATGGAGCGCATTCTGTGAGGGCACGATGCATGATCTGAAAAACTTGGAAAAATTAACATTTCTGGTGAGGAATCTTAGGAAGCGAGACTACTCACAAAGGAAGGAAATGTGAACAGATACGGAAATTTAATGGCGGCACACTACATTTCTGGTGGCCCTTTCTCAGTGTCATAGAAAAGGTTGTCTGGGAAGGATGAGGAAAATAAAAGTTTAATCGAGTCAGTATTCAGATAAAGGCTTAGCCTTCTCTTAAATTTGTATAGATTTTCTGAAGAT